CTGGGTCTTGGTGCTGCTTTATATCAGCAAGATGGTTCAATGAAGAGGGTAGTTTCCTATGCCAGTAGCATGTTATCAAAAATTGAGCGTAACTATCCAGCTCACAAGTTATAGTTTCTGGCAGGCAATAACTGAGAAGTTTCATGACAACAATCTGTTGACATACATGATGACAATGGTTAAGCTTGATGTCACTGGACACCAATGGCTGGCTGCATTAGCACAGTATGACTTTGAACTTCTATATAGGCCTGAAAGTCTTAATGGTGACGCGGAAGGATTGTCATGGAAGCCTCAGGCTAATCTACCTCCAGTGAAGGGCATCCCCATTGGCTTGATTGGTTGTCTCCTGATGAGAGGGAGAAAATGAGTTGTGAAGATGATTTGTCATAGTAGCCAAATCTAAATGGTACCTGCTATCGAGATGATGGGGGCAACTGCTGAAACCCTGGCCCAGGATCAAAATGACATGAGGGATTGGTCGGAACAGTGTTGATAAGGATGAATGAAGGGGGACCCAGAAAGCAGATCCTGTAATGGGGAGGTTATACTGGTACGTATATGAATTACTTTCAGCACTACAAACTTCGGGCCAAAGGGGGGATACAGCTGTCACCAGATTTAGTAGAGATACTTTGTTTGTTGTTTGCAGATGATGTAGTTTTATATTCAGATTATGTGATTGTTTTACAACGATTGTTAAATAATTTGAGCTATTTTTCTGATTTGTGGAATTTGACTGTCAATTTATCAAAGACTAAAGTTTTTATTTTTAAAAGCGGTGGTTGTATTTCAAGTGCAGAAAAATGGGTTTATAGGGGAGTAAAAAGTTGATGTAGTTTCATATTACAAGTATCTTGGAGTGTTGTTTTCCTGTTAAATTGGTCCTGTGCTACTAATTTGCTTGGCCAACAAGGTAAAAAGTCGTTAATGGGTCTAATCAAACGCACGAGGAAATTGGGTCCGCTATCTTATGACTATTTGACACAATGATTCTGTCGATTTTAACATATCAGTCTGAAATTCGGGGTCACCACTGTTATGAATCAAGAGTACAATATTATGTTTGTAAAATAATTCAGGTGTCTCCCAAAATGCTCCAAACTGCGCAGAACTGGGAGTTTGTGAGCGTTACAAAATATAATAACAGCTAAGAGATTCGTGAAGTATTAGACCAAATTATTATGCACGCCAAAATCAAGGTACCCTAGTACATTTTACTTTATGCTGTACCACTTTTCCCAGTCAAGAATTAAACCAAACTGGGTCACTTATGTTAAAAAACTATTATTATCGAGCAATATACAAGAGGTTTGGAATGCACAGGACGTCTCAAATATTGATTTATTTAATAAGATCTTTGCTTCTAGATTGAAATATCATTAGCATTTTTATTGACATGGTGATATTTCAACTATGAATATTTATTGTCCGTGTCTGTCCACGCTCACAGGTGTGTGTCATCGCTGACAGAAAAAATAATTTTGAAAGAAGTGACCGAGTCTGTTCTTTATGCAATTATTCTGAAATTGAAGACGAATACTATTTACTATTAATTTATCCATTTTCGGAGGTCATTAGGGAAAAATACATTCAAAGATACTATTTTACATTCCCTTCATATAATAAGTTTGTGGAATTGATGAAGACTTACTACAATCCATGGCTCCTTATTTGTATCATTCCATGTATCACTAAGATATGATTTTTTATTTGTTTATGAAATCTATATTTTTGAGCCACAGGTCTTGAACTACAATTAATGATCATTAATGAAAAAAGACCACTAGTTCAAGGGCTGAAAACGATTCTTCAGACAATAGTGGTCAAGTAATTTTGGTTGAAGTCTGTGAGAGATGATCTAGTGGAGACTGAAGTTGTTGCACATAGCGCATCTCAAGCTGAGAGAGAAGTTGTTCAGGATATTGGTAATGAAGATCATGTAGCGAGTGGTGAATTTAGACTTCGTGCTTCAGGATTCATACCTGAATGAATATGTCAAAATGGCAGTCCAACAGCAGAATGCAGAGAGAGATATTTCACGGGTCAGAGAAATGGTTTGTGGACACAAAGTAGAAATAACAATATAGAAACAACTGGTAGTGTAGATTTAGAAAAAATATGAGTTGTATGCTGTGTCATCGTCTTGTAGAAATTCAACGTTGCTGGAAGTCACGTTCAAGGGAAGATAGAACTGATCATTTGGTTAATTGAGTCGTGAGTAATTAATTGTGTGCACATGGGGTTGGGAAAATCATTTTTAACATGGTTTTATATAATCCGGTTGCAATTCAGAGACTTTGTGAATGGCATTGCTCATTGAGTGAAGATCCCTTACCCTAACCTGTGAATTCCATGTGACCCTGTATGAATGATTATACTCCATGTTTGAATTTTGTGAGTTTGTATGTGATGTTATGGTCTGCGTTTGAGAGTTCATGTCGTTTTGATTTGGTTTCAGGGTTATCAAGCATATGCATGCATTTTTTCGTCAGTGACTATACTTATTCAATTTGTAGTTCAATGTGTATATGTTGTTATTGCTAACT